GGAGCCCAGCAGGCGAGGCTGCGGTGGCCGGGAGTGGCCACTGCACTCCAGTCTGGGTGACTGAGTGAGACTCCAACTCAAAAAAAAAAAAAAAAAAAAATACAGATATGTTACAGAGCATCATTTTTTATGCTATTCTAATGTACATTTATAAAATTTGACATACCTCCTATTTTTCTGGATACTTAAATGTGGCTTCTAAATTTACATTACTTTAAATAACTTGGTGAGCAGTTTTGTAGACAGAACTTTGTGAACTTATAACCTCAGGATAACTTTTTCTAATTAGATGGAACTGCTAGGTCAAGGGTACACATTACATTTTCTGATTTGTACACCCTAATGACCCACTATGCCCACTTATATTCCCACCAATAGTGTAAGAGACACCCAAACAATCTAAAAAATATGTGCCAATCCGATGGGCAACTCCCACAGATTATGTTACAACTATTTCTCTCAGGTTTTAATTTATCTCTTATGGTTGCCCCAGAATTTACATTTTTAAAGTCTGGTCTTTTTTTTTTTGAGTCAGAGTCTCACTCTGTCGCCCAGACTGGAGGGAAGTGGCATGCTTGTGGCTACCGCAACCTCGACCTGCTGGGCTCCAGTGATCCTTCTGTCCCAGCCTTTCAAGTAGCTGGAACTACAGAGGTGCGCTATCACACCTGGCTAATTTTTTTGATTTATTGTAGAGATGAGGTCTCACCAAGTTGCCCAGGTGGGTCTCGAACCTGCGGGCTCAGGCAATTCGCTCACCTTGGTCTCCCAAAGCTCAGGATTACAGGCTGAGCCTTCGAGCCCGGCTTTTTTTTTTTCTTTTTAAGTTGGAGTCTCACTCTGTTGCCCAGACTGGAGTGCAGTAACACGCTCCCTGCCACCGCAGCCTCGACCTGCTGGGCTCCGGCGATCCTTCTGCCTCAGCCTTCCAAGTAGCTGGAACTACAGGCGTGCGCTACCACGCCCAGCTAATTTTTGATTTATTGTAGAGATGAGGTCTTGCCAGTTGCCCA